AGAATCTCTCTTTGGTTCCCTTGTGGTTCACATGCCAATTCCCAAAGAGCACGGAGAAACCCACCTCTGCCTTTAGTGTGCTTTCTTTAACACTAAAAACAGGAGACCCTCCTTGCTCAAGCCATTCCTGGTGAGGAGTAAAACAGGACACGGCCAGAGCTGCTCAATCCCTGCCCAGGCACAGTGTTCTGCTCCAGCTGGCGCAGCTCCCTGAGCACCCCCTGACTCACAGCCCATGGCTTCAGACTGTAAAAGCCCTGTCCTACTCTTTAACACGACACACTTCTAGCATTCCCCTTCTCAGAGTGTGGTGGGAGATTCCTCCCTTCACTGCGGACACCCAGCGAGGTTTTACCTTGAGATGGAGAAAAACAGACTTATTCAGGGCCCTTGGCAAGGACAAGCAATATCTGTCTCAACTTTTGTCTTTCTAGCTTTAATAAAATTGCTTCACTATGGCTTCCAAATACTGTGCTACAATAGTAGCAACAACTGGTTACACTGTGGAAGATGAATAAAGGAATAAATAATAAAAAAGGAAGAAAGAATTATTAAGCTTTTTAGTCTAAAATAATTAAAGTCTTCTAGACTACTCTTTAGCATAATCAGGCATTAAACTAAATTGTTCCCTCATCTTTGGGAAGGGGTGTAGAAAACGAGGACACCTTTGCTAAAAAACACAATGCTAATTTTCCATTCTGCTTCAGCCAGTGCCATAATCTGCCGGCAGCACTCCTAGAGTGCCCTGAGTGCTTCCCTGACGTGCGTCTCTGGGGCACACAAACCCTCCTTTTCCTCACTCAGTGGTGGTGAAACACACCACCAGCAGCAGAAATCATAGCCCAGCTGTGGGCAGCTTCTCTGCTCCCTCAGCCTCGGTCGGAATTGCTCCCGAGCAGCCCTGAACACACGAGCCTGCTGGAAGCTGGTGTTGGAGGGCCCTGAAGTGACGCTGTACTGCACCGGAGCTCCGGCTGGCTCTACGGTGGTCTTTGCACTCCGGCTCCGGCGATCGCCAGGAGTGGGGAATCACTGGGGAGTAGGCTTTTCCCTCAGTGACCCCTCCAGAGTCTTGAGCCACTCCAAGCTCTGTGGTGCACAGCGTCAGGTGCGGAGACAAGAAAGCAGAGGAGTCTCTCTTAGATTGTAGTTCCCAGCAATGGTTTTATTCCGTCAGGGAAACGAGGCGTCCACGCTGGAAGGGATCCAGGTCCAAGAGAGCCCTGAGCATTGCTGTGCAAGGAGTTAAGTATGGCCCGACCCCCAGGGGAGGGTACAAACTGTAGATCATCAATGGGGAATCTTGAGAGGAGGAGTAAGGGGAGGGGATCACACCTTCCGGACTAATAGGGGTTCAGAGGGAGGGAGCAAGATACAGCAACCAGTGGGACCTCGAGGTATAATTGATTGATACAGAAGGCTCTGGAAGAAGGGATGGGGTTTACTATGATGGATAGGAGGGTAGGGGCACGGCTAAGGTGATTGGCAGGGAACATTTAGGTAAAATAGGAGGGGGTTACATAACTGACAACTGGGGCCTAACCAATACAATCAACAGGGGGAACAAGAACGTCCTAACAAGCTTCAACAAATCCTTAACCAAACTAAATAAATGAACTACAACCCTGAAGCTGCACTGTCCCCTGGAGCTTTGTCACATCCTGGAGGATTTGTTCTCCTCCTCTAGCTCAGAGAGCGGGGATGGTCTGTGCACTGCCCAGAACGGCCATGGAGGTCACAGCCATGCTCTGGGGATCTTCTCTGCTCTCTCCACCGTGGTTGGATTTCCTCTTGACCAGCCTTAAGCATGGGAGCCTGCCTCAAGCTGCTGCAGGATGGCCCTCGAACTGCACTGTCAACAGGAGGTGTGGTCACAACAGGGAGAATTTGTTTTCGGCTGTGGAGGTCGTAGCCGCTCCACGCGGATCTGCTTGTCTCTTTCTGCCTCAGCAGGGTTTCCTCCCAAGCATCCCCAGGTCCACAGGCTGACTCCAAGCTCCTGTTGGAAGGTCCTGAAGCTGCATCATCCTTGGCATCATGGCCACAACTTGGAGGGCCCGTGTTCCTCCCTGTAGCGTCATCACAGTCTGCGGTGTCCAAAAAACAGCTGTAGCCTTCCCCGCTCCACAGTGGGGATGCGCTCTGTGCCTCCTCCTGGCCCGGGTCTTCCACACTCAGCACCATATCCTGGAAAGAGAGCTGTGCAGAGTTCCTGCCCTTCTCTCCTGAAAGGACCAGAGTCAGTGGAGAAGCTCCAGAAGCTCTGGGAGGGCACATTTCAGAGCCTCCCAAAGGCCCTTCTGGAGGGCTGCCAAGGCCAAAGGGCCAAAGGCACACAAATGGCATGGATTCTGGAGGGCTGCCAAGGCCAAAGGGCCAAAGGCACACAAATGGCATGGATGCAGGTGGCATGCTTTGACAGGAAGCAGCATTGTGGCTGTGAAGAATGCTGCCAGGGTGGCAGGGGGAAAGGGAGAAATGCAGAGATCCTAGAAAGAAATCCACAGCTCCTGTGGTGCCCTGACCCTCCTCCCCAGATACCTTTGTCCTGTCAGGCAAATCCTGTGGGACTACAGAAGCCACCTGCTTGCTGCAGGCTGCCCACTGACTGAGGATGGATGGCGCATATGATGGTGCCAGCGAGGAAGAAGCCTTTTCTCCAAGCCTCAGATCAGAGCATCTGCAGAAAAAAACACCTTGAAAGCAAGCACAGACACAGCCCAGTGCTGAAATGCACCCAATCTTCCCCCAAGCTGGCCGGGCAACCTCTCCTGTCTCACACAGCTTTTGTTATTCTAAGGCTCTTCACTGCCATATTTGCCAAAAGCTGCATCTCATCTGCGTGCAGTAAACCTGCACAGGAAGATGACTTCTCTTCAATGACATGCAGCCCCCTCCAACAGCATCCCGTCTTACTCTGGATGTTCTTAGTAATCATCTCACTTGTTGCATTTAAAGCAGTTTTCACCATCCAGCTGCTCAGGTGTCACAAAGGCTTCCAGAGCTGCAGTGAGGGATGAGGCTGCCTGGAGGAGTGAGAAATGGGCACGCTGAGCTGCAGGAAATGCCCTCACCCAAGCATTTCCCAGAAGCTGACCAGAAAAGCCCCATAGCTGACGCTGAAGAGACCCACCATGAACCTATCC